TTTAAGGAGAGATTTAAGACTTCTGAACTGCTAGGTTGCTTTGGTGCAGATGAACATCTCTCCTCCCTGACCTTTTATTATGTAATCTCAATCTGTCTGCACAATCTTCATGAAATTACTAATCATCTCATGAAATTACTAATTTTGTTGGGTCTCTAAGCACACACCTGCTATGGTTCAGACTATGTAGTCTTTGAGGGGTCTACCCACCCTTTGACATAAACATCAAAGATGATTCACAGAAGCTGTATATGTGTGGCTGAGAAAACCCCTTTCACTCCCTTTCACCTTGGAGTTTCCATGTATGCAAAACATTCGTGAGTAGAGCAGCATTGCTAAGCAGACACATTTCACTTCAAAGCAAAGAACTGAAAATAGTAGGCATAAACCACTGAATCTGACCTTTGCAGGAGCACTGGTGGGTGAAGCTACCTCCAGTTAACATGATGCCAATGACTGATAGTGATTTCTGGCAGTATGAGCAGACTGAGAGGTTTTTGAAATGCCACTGACCAAGTGCCCACCAATGTGACCAACCTCCAAGGTCATATTGGAAATGAAAAACTGCTGTCAGTAGCAGAATCCCTACCCTGCTTTTTACAAATAGTCAGAATTCTTGTTGTCCTTTGCCTCTCTATTTTTCTTATGGAGAGTCTGATTTTAAGGAAACAGATAATGCTGGGGTCATATTCCTGTGAAAACATTCATCAAAGTTAAAACTGTCAAGTCAGCAGGTCACAGGTAAAATACGTAGAAAGATAATGCTCCTCTGCTTGGGGTGAGGAAGGAAAGCTCATTTTCTCGTGGTGATTGATATCTAAGGTTTTGTTTGTTTGAGAGGTTTTATCCATTTATTTATCAGAGAAACCTGTAAGAAGTTATCCAAGATGTTCTTTTGCATAAAGGAAATGAGGCAACTTATAACTTGCAATGACAAGGCCTTCTGCTTCTTTTCTGTGCTTTTGATATATTTTTTTGCAAGTTCCTAGTACTTGTCAGCAAATCTCAAAAATGTCCTAAGTAGCAAAATGTTCATTTGTGGACTATATCTTAATTATATACAACTTTGTAAATTTTTGGAGGCAGGGAAATCTAAGTACAGAGAAATAATCATTTGGATACCGGATAGTAATGAGGAACAAAACAACCATAAAATTGCTACCGCATTAGGAGTTTCTTGATTTAGGATCCCTGTGGTGCCTTATCTTCTCAATTTGCTGGGCACATTTATTTTAATATCAGGGGGAAAGAAACCAGAATTCTGGTTTTCAAGCTCCACAATCATGGTCCACTTTATTATTAGTATTATTATTATTACTGCTCTTTCCTTTATTGGTCAGAGTTGATCCATTTTTGTTTCTAAGGAAAGGCCACTAGAACAGCGGGCCTTAGCCTATGACTTTGGATAATGTGATGTCCTCAATGTTCATGCTCAAAAGAAAACACCAACGTTGTGGTGCAGAGAAGACAAGGTTGCCTGCCTTTTGTTACCACTTGGTCATGAATTACTGATGTGGGGCACTGCATAGCCCATGGTATTGTGGACAGACATATGTCCAGTATCCTTACTCATAATCCCCACATTTGAGTTCAGATTTACAAACAAGAAATAAATCTGTTCATGTAACTCAGATTCCCTATGCAAGGATATGTGGAAGCCACATTTGTAGAATATTAATTATGAAGAAGTCCATACATCTTTAAAGCTTATAATGGAGTATACTTCTGGATACTCGGTGCCCTGTTTCATAAACAAAGTGTATGATTCTGGACAGATTTTTATTGGCCAAACACAAAATGGCACTTTAAGTGAACATAGTAAAAAATGTGGACATGAAAACAAAGTGGATTTTCAAATGGAAAATGGTCTTTTTTCAAAACTGGCTGTCTTTTCTTGTGTTCCAAATTAAGCACTTTCAGCCAATGCACTGAAAAATCTTAAACACTTCTTGGCCAAAATGAATATAAAATCTACGAATAGTTTCAAAAGATACTATTCTACCTTTTGTTTTTCTTCCTAGTCACTGAAAGATATTCTCTTAAGAGACCAAGAAATAAAGTCCTCCTAGTTTTTATGCCACATCACATGAAGTGGCACTGTAGACTTTCTTTGCAGTGCCCTGCCAATGTAATTCAAGTTTCACGGGTAATTAATTCTCCATGCCAACGAGTCCTTGAACTGCCTGTTATAATACCAGCAGCATAGAACCAGCTAAAGATCCAAGTTTTCAGATTTTATCCCATGAAAGGTGAGTACAAACTATGAATCTGTGCTCCTGTGAGAAAAAAAAAAGAATGACCGAAAGAAAAAATTACATCCAGATGAGGAAAAATAGTTTCTTTGGATTTCTCTGGTTTTATTTATTTACTGACTACGTTTCAGTTGTCATAGGTATGTTCTATAGGAAAAAATATAATTTCAATTTTCCAAATAGCATATATAGAAGTCATGATCAGCACTTGTTTATTTGGCTAGAGAAAAGCATTTTATAGTACTGTCTTGATTTCTGAACACTGCACAAAAAAATTTAAGTTTACTTCCCCATGTGAATTCGGAAAGGTCCCTTTTAGAATTTCTCCTATTTTTGCCTATTTCTCAAGACAAATTACAGTGTCTGTAGGGGCACTTGTAGACTACCAGACAGTATCCAACACAAATATTGCAGCCTTGTCTTCCCTATCAAGCCTGTATTTTGACAGTTTTCTTTACTTCATTTCCTTCTAGGACTGGGAAACAGGCTGTAAGAGGACAAGTTGTCAAAAATCACCTTTTAACAAAGATTTGTCGTATGCAAAACTGAAATAGTTACAAGCAATAAAAGGTGGCATTACTGTGCTCTTGTGCAAGAACCATTCAATGAAACTTGGAACATTAATTTTATATGTGTAGATCAGTCTTGATATTTTCCTTTATCCATCAAGAGGAAAGAGTTAGGGTTAGAAAAGAAACACTTAATGCCCTTTTTCCTAGAAAAGAATTGCTTAAGGTGGCCCTAACTTGCTAAAGCAAAAGGATTTTTTAAAAACTAACTAATATAGCCCAAAGAGGGTGAAATGAAGAATAGTTGTTAATGTTCGTTTGGATTAGTGTAAATTTTATTAGCACTGAGGTGTAATTGTCAGGAACTTGCAGTTTCGTACTGTGGGGGATTATTCAAACACGTTGGTGCCAATGTTTGCTCAGTGCAGTCAGGATGACTGCGCTTTCTGGGTCAACATTGTCTGAAAAAGTTTGCTGTACGATACAACTGAGGTAAGAAGCTAAACATTGAGTATCACTTCACATAGCCTTTCATGCTTTGTGAGGTGAGTCAAAGTTTTGCTATTTAAAGATCAGACATTTAGAGAAATTGTATTTCTGCTTTTGCACCAAAAGCATGTGGTGTCAGAAGGCTGACTTCTCACGTAACCCCATTCTTTGGGGGTTTTTGTCCACTTTTATGCGACTTGGAACAAATACATGGAAATTGAAGTATTTTTAAAAGTCAGTCCAGACTAATTACACACCTCCAGTCTACTTACCTGAATGTTGTGTAATCACCGAAATAGCGTTTAATGTTAAATGCCGATCCCCTGTATTGGCTTTGCAGTGCTCTAACGTTAGTCAGAGGCTGGACTGTTTGCTGGTGCAGAGACAATGAAAGACAGGATTTCTCTGCAACAGACACTTGGATTTTCCTTTTAAAGACGTTCACACTCTTCTGGTGTAATTACAGCCTGCCAGAGTGAGGAGCATGAAAGTGTTTAGCTTGCGAAGCTTAAAATAAAAGGTGTATGTGAAAACAAGAACACGATCCTTTTTCTAGCAGTCCAGCACCAAGTCCCATCCCCTCCCTCTCCTGTGGCTTCTTCCCCTGAAATTTAGAGCACCTTCCTATTAATGCATTTTTAGGTGAGTGACGGGGCCCTTTTTGTCTTCTGTGTTGCTCTCATTCAATTATTTCTGCTTATTAATCTGTTTGTAGTTAATGTTGCATGTCTGAATACGAAGTCTCAGGTGTGGGTGCACAGATCATCTCATGAATTATGCTCCAGTCTAATTATATATTGTGCACCCCAGTTCCCATGCAGGCTTCCCCTTGGGCAGACCTCTTGAATGTTCTTGGGCTTGGGTGGTTTTGTGGGGTTTTTTTTATTGACCGATGTCACCGTGCTTTATCCATAGTCCCAAAATAAAAACAGAAGAAATGTATGTGGCAGGTCAATACCCTGGAGGCAGCAGGCATGACTCCGTGGTTTCTTTCCCACCCCCTTCCTTTTTGCCCCCAGATATCCCCTCCCTTCCCTGGTGTAACAGGATGGTTTTGCAGAGCTTCAGTCAGTAATGCCAAAAATGTTAAAGTGTAAGCGGCTACCCATTCCTCCCCGGGCCAGTCAGTCATTTTCAGTCGCAGGTTTAAATCTGCTGCAGCAAAGCCAAGCCTCTGTGCTTGCATCAGGTCTTACAAAAGCAAGGCTGTTTGACTGACAGGCACGGAGAAGGGGTTCTGATAACGTACTAAGCCGAGTCTGGAAGCGGAGTATCGAGGACAAGGCTGTGCCAGAGGTACTGTGCATTATGGATGAGGCACTCAGGTCTGTCGTTGATTGACTGAGGGACAGTTACGCTCTTTCACAATGCTGGGTAAGATCATCTGGACTGTCACTTAATATGAGCTTTCTTGTCAGTGGGAAGACGACTTTTCACTCAGTGTTCCAATGCAGATTGCAAATGATAGCCATGCTTTCCCCTCTGCTTTGTAAGGCTTTAGTCGCTCATGCAGGTGAGTTAACCTAAAATAACTTTATCGCTTGCCAGGTGCCATACGCTGGAATTAACTTATACTCTCAGAATCTCAGGCTGACTATAACCGTTGGAAAAGCACTTGCATTTGATGACATAATATATATGTCCTTTATCTCCAGCAGCCAAGGTGCCATCTAACCGCTGCGTAGGTATGGTATTAAATTAAGGAGGTGAGCTGAGGGGAATGAAAATTTTTTCTACTCTTTTCTTTCAGGACAGAGAAAGAAGCTGTAACAAACAGTTCTGGAGACTTTGAAGCACAGCCACAGTGCTGAGGTCTTTGACTGACAAGCCTTCTGCTTTCTTCTTCTTACAGGGCTCCTCCTACAGATGTTCTGAACACGTCTGCATCCCAGCAATTTTTTACTGCGCCCAGGTACTGAATGTAAGGAACAAACTGCATAAAAAGAAGCGTGGGGTGTAGAAGAAGGAGCACTGTGAGGAGTATATCAGAAGTCATGCCTATACAAAATGCAGGCAGTGGCATGACTTCAAGCAAAAATTATCTGAGAAAGCGTAGTTGCAGAATGACCGAGTTTATTCTTAGAAAATGACAGAATAAAGCTCTTATTCAACAATATGGCTTATAATCATGTTAAATGGTATGTGTCAGGCTTGACTTCCCTAAGTGTCATCCTTTCACTGTGTGACTGGGAGTTTATTTACTGCTTGAACAGAATTTCTTTTCCTCCCTACAGGTCTTGAAAATTAGAGCTCAGGCACTTTTGGATCAGTCTTTTCATTGAAATACTGGAACTACTATGAAGTCTTCTTGGTTTGCACTCATCTTGGCAGTGCTCAGTACTGAACTGTTAACAAGTCACTGTTCCACTGTCAAGTCCCCGAGGTTCAGAGGACGTGTGCAGCAGGAGCGAAAAAATATCAGACCAAATATCATCCTTGTACTCACAGATGATCAAGATGTGGAGCTAGGTGAGAAATAATTGTTATTTGCTACTTTATTTCGTCACGTGTCTTTCAGTAATTTCTGCCAAGCAGAAAGTACTTTAAATTCAGAGGAGGTGCTGGTCCTGGAACAATATCAGAATGTGGGACAAGTTTGGGAAATGAGTTAACAAATATTATTTAATAGCATTCATCACATTTAATTACAGACTTTAGGAAATACATGCTTATCAAAATCTGCCATGGAAGGCTTTTGTCACCACCATAAAAGTATTTAATAATACATGCAAGGTTATACAGGTAAAAAACTTGCATCAAAACCCCTCTTTCACTTTATGACTTTCTGTAGCATTTAAAAAGTTGAGCCTTATGAGATTAACCTTTCCCTCAGTGATGTATAGGTATCTATATTCTCCACATATTTGTCACATGCATGTATGTCATCTGACATGTTTATGCACACAGAAAAACTGGTCTGGTTTCAGGACATAAGCTTAATATTTCTATGAGTTATTAAAATGCTTAAAATCCATCTGCTTTAAAACTATGCTATATGTATAAAAATAAGATAGTTTTGCTTTCACAAGTATACTAAATATCTGAGCACAACCTGGACATACCAGCCAGAAGTGATTATCACATATTTTTCTCAGGGTGGAAAAAGTTAAAACACTTGGATGATGTTCCAGGAGGCCTTTGAATGTTTTCCATTAAGTAAGTTAGAAAGATATTAATGGTAGTTATGCATATAACTGATTTTTTGGTTCACTGCCCAAAGCAAAAAATCAAGGAGAGAAAGAGGATCATTTTAGGTTACCCCCAAGCAAATATTTTAGTTTTGGGGGTGGGAGGTAAGATCAAAAAGGTGAAAAAATGGCAAATCAATTTGAAATTAAATCTTGCATTCTTAGTGTTTTTTAATGGCATCATTTTAGGTTACCCCCAAGCAAATATTTTAGTTTTGGGGGTGGGAGGTAAGATCAAAAAGAAAAAATGGCAAATCAATTTGAAATTAAATCTTGCATTCTTAGTTTTTTAATATGGGATATGTTTTTAATAAAAGTATAGTGAATTTCTAAACAAAATGCCATATGACATTGAAAAATCAAAATGCTTCATTCCAGAAAACTTATACCAAAATTGTTCATTTGTTCTAAAATCACGTACTTTCAGCGAGAAAGTTGTGGACAAAAAGTGGTCTAGATCTAAAAGCAATTCTTTAGTTGCTAGCATTTTTGTATTTGTCATGATGCAATAATAATTTACATAGTCCTTCAGGGTTGTGAGAACATAATTAATAAACTATATTTTGTGACTGAGAGTTAGTGCTTTTATGCAGCAGAGCTCCAAGACCAGGCCTTTAGATCTGAGCACAGCTTATCTTTTTTATTTCTCACTCTTTCAAATGTCTGCTCTGTTTAGCTGTGCTGCATAATGAATGACTGTTCCCGGCTCTATTTTTGGCCTAAAATACAGCTATTACAATAGGAATGCATTTCTTCTTGATAGAGTCATTCTGAAAATTTTGTTTAAAGGGTCAAGTCATGTCTTCCTTTTTGTGATCCAAAAGAGCCTACTTTCTCCAGGGCACCGGGGAAGGTAGGTCAGCAGAGACATTCTCTGAACAACGTTACTGACTTGCTGTCTTCAATCTTGCAAGAGGGTTTGCAAGTGGTGAAAGAGCAGGAAGGATGTGGCAAGCCACTTTGTTCATACTGTGGAGCTCCTCTCTTTGAAAGCTGCTCTGGATGTTTGCAGGGCGCTCTGGCTCCTATTAGCAAGCAGTTGAGCAATAGCCTGGATGTGTATGCATTCTCACTGCATTGAATGAAGACACAGGTTTCCCATTTTCATAGATCATTTTGCAGGAAACAGGATTCAGCCCCAAGACTTACTGTACTGCATTATTTGCACTTCTACTAATAAATCATTCTGCTTATCTGAAAAGTGAAGCCATACTGTTTTCCATGTGTGAATTATCCCCTCGCCCTTCAGTGATTCCTGAGAAAAATCTTGTTTCCCAAAGGTCAATGGGAAGTAACACTTTCTGCCACAAACAGAAAAAAGCTTAGGCATTGCTATCCAAAAACCACAAGACTGAAAGTCTCTCAGTATGGATTATTTGCTATTGTATTCCCAGCACGAACATTCCTAATAGCTCTTCTAAATGAATGCTTGAACATAAAAGCATATAAGGTACGTTATAAGCTTCAGTCAGGAAGAATTTGTCTCCAGAGCATGTATAAGCATTGAACCAAAATATTCAGCTGTCTGAGTGCAAATGATAGACAGGGGAGTTATCCAAAGTAAAATTTGCAAGAGGCAGGGAGCTTGCATTTAGTTAGTGCTCAAAGCATAGGAGTATGCACATCTTCCTATTGATCTGCACCATCCATCTGAGTTTTGCATTCTGAATGCAAAGAAGTTCAGCAGAGCTGCTGTCTCATTCAGCTTATCAGATAAAACCCACAAATTGCTCCACAACTCCAGTCAGTTCCTATCTATGCTGGGAGGAATGTGGCACAGAGGAAGATATTACTGATCAGCTGGTGGATGGCAACTTAAGCGATATAAAGCAGCCTGGCCCACAGCTCTTGAAGAACCTCGGCAAATACTTGGGCCCAGAAGCTGGGAAGTGACTGGTTAAATTGTGCCTCTGTGCCCTTGCTTTCCCCCACCAAGATCCTAAGGGTAGAGAAATAACTGCCCAACACTGAGGCATCGTGCTCGTAGAGAAATAACTGCCCAACACTGAGGCAAATGGGCATCTTGCTTAAGGCAAAACACCAGCTCCCAGAACCCAGAACTGCCCAGAACTACTGCCCCCCTGCAGACAACGTACTGCTGCTCTTCAGGGCAGTGGCCCCAGCTCCCACTGGGGTCAGGTCTGTACTCTGTTCAGGCATTAGTACAGGTATTTCCAACTTTTTGCTCACTCTTTAGTCTCTTCCTCTGTCCTCCAGATTCTCTATCACTTGCACACATCAGTACCTCAAATCATGATCCCCCCATCATTCTGATAATCCTCACTGTGAATAATATCTTGCGTAATGTCAGAAAGGAGTCAAAACTAATGAATACGTTGGTAGTTCCAGTGTTTCTAACCGAGCCCTTTAAGATGTCAGAGAAGTGGGAAAAGGTTAAAAAAAAAGAGGGAAAAATCCATCTGAGACAATTACTTTTTTCTGTACCCTTGTTTACAGCCTAATGCGCCACCCAGTGAAATCCATACAAACCATGCACTGAGTACTGCAGTGGGTGAAGAGATCACAGCATCATCTAGATAGATCATACCTGGCATAATTTGCCTGGTTTGATTTCCATCGTCACTAGAACTTTCGAAGCACTTAACAACATAAGCTGAAAAAATGGGGATGTGTGCTGAGATCTGCGAAAGTCCACCACCTTCCTGGGGCCTTGCATCTAACCCAAATAAAGACAAGGTGGCTCTAGCCATCCCTTTGTAGAGATGTCCACCTGTGTTACGCCTGGATGAAAATCCATAGCAACTTTAACACTTGTTACGAAACCTTGGTTACCAAACATATTTCTTGATATATGAGAATAGACTGAGAGGTGACACTGAATTTCTTGCCTGACAGAACTTGCTAACTTCTGTGTCCAAAGTGGCTGTTCCCAGTTATCTGGTTCCCCTCAGGTGCTCCCCAATCAGTCATGTAAAGCATGAGTGTCCTGCTGTCAGACAGCGCCTGAGTACGTGTGCCCTGAAGACTGTGGGCCAGATGGTAAAGAGCACAAGCTGTGAGGAGAGCTACAGACAGCAAAGGATTATAATTTATATCAGCAAGTTTTATCTCCTGCTTATGTTTTGTTTTCCAAATGAGGAAGTCTCACCTGCTTTGAAGTGCCTATTCCAGAATTTCCAGAGGGGCTAAATCTATTATCAGTGTCAGTAAGTGCATACCTGGAGGAAAAACTTACTCATAAACAGCAGGTTTGCAAGAGCAGAGGGCTGACCAAGCAGAGGAATGAGGAAGTGCTCTAACAGCTACTCATTTATAATGCACAGAGGCATGAAAGTGCACATCAGGTCTGCTGCTGTTACCGTGCATTAGTGTACCTGAACAGAGCACTTTCCATCTGAGAACCTACCAGCACTTTACAGCTGAGCTCTCAGTAATAAACTGTGACATTTCAAAAATGGGAGAGCTATGGTAAAAACAAAACAAAAAAAAAACAAAAAAAAAAAAGAAAAAGCCAGCCTGGGGTCCGAGATAAAGACATGTAGAGTGAGGATGTTCTCTCATTTGACTTTTACTCAACAACTCAGTGAAATGCTCCCACTCATACAAATGGAGACCTTTGTGTTCACGGACCTCTCAGTTACTCTCCTACTTCTCTGTATCTCTGAACACACGGGTTTTGCCTGTATTGAGTTCAGGAAAGCATGAATGCAGATGCTCTGCATTTAGAAAAGAGGGTCTGTGAAAGAGGAAGAGTCTAAAATTATGGTGACTTATATGCAAGGTATTAAATGTATCCTTAAAGACACAGACATTGGTGCTGCACCAGGAAATGCTGAAGAGCTAACCGCCTCTTCCTTTTTTTCATCAAACAATTTTGATGCAAAAGATTTCATAGTCAGCACTGACTCCCTAGCCCCAAAATAAAACAGAGCATGCTTAAGTTTAAATAGTAAAATCATTTGTAAGATTTTACTGCTTACACCTAAAGTTGATCCTCCTTGGCAGTTTTGTGGCTTTACAGACATGTCTTTCATATTCAAAAAAATAATTTTTTTAATTTGGTTTTCAAGTGACCTAAACAAAACCACCAAGAAAAACTTTTATTGTATCAATGGAACCAATGAATTTAAATTTAAGCCCACTGCTGTCAACTGTGTGAAATTAACTGTGAAAACAAAGGAAAAAAAGAAAGTAGAATTCCAGAAACCTCTTTTTACCATCAAAATTGTGCACGTATTACAATTCACAAACGTGTTTCCTGGACACATACTCCCATATCCACAGTTCACCCTCACCTTTCAATCTCTGCTCTGTTGGATAACAGAAAGAGCAAAGTTTGACAGCTGTCAGCAAACACTGACAGACCCTATCAGGAGCTGGTCAGTCTTTCTGCAATCTGAAATCTGCAAGCCCTGCCTGTCTCACCTTGTTGTTCATGAAGAGGTTTTGAAGGATACAAAAAATGTCTTTGTTCTTTAAACTGGATCAGTACAGTTTCTTGAGAAAGGTGCTGAATTTTGCCAATATTTTTTGCATACAAATCCACCCCCAAAAGCTGATTTTGAACATAGTGCTTCAGTATCGGAGCCAGACATGCTGATCCTGCATCCAGAGAAACGTCCCTCTAGAAAAATTTTCTCTCTCTTCTCCCCTATCTCTCCCTCCCTCCCTTACTTTCTTCCTCTCTCTCGTTCTCCCTCTCTGATTATCTGATAAAATGGAAAGAATTGTAACACATAATTGCTAATCTCAGAATTTTACATATTTTACTGTCACATTGACTAATGATGTAGTCTGTGTAACATACTGTTTTCCTAAGCAGTGTTTGAAGAACTATTGATCTATAAATTTGATACAGCTCTAAAGCTTTAACATTGTATTTCTAGATTAGTCTGTATTTTAATTTTGTTTTGAAGCCTGAGAAAAATATTTTTGGTGACATAATAAAAATCTTATGTTTTCTCCTAAAATTACCTAAGCTACAGAGTAGTACAGACTGATGTCCAAAGGCAAGCTAATCACTGATACTTTACTTTTAATGGCATAGTAGCAGCCAATATATTCTAACTATTTTTTGCAGCAGAGTGATAATCAGTACCTCTTATTGCAGGGTCCTTACAAGTGATGAATAAAACCAGAAGGATTATGGAGAATGGAGGGGCTTCTTTTATCAATGCATTTGTAACCACCCCGATGTGCTGCCCATCGCGTTCCTCCATGCTGACTGGGAAGTATGTTCACAACCACAACATATACACCAACAACGAAAACTGCTCTTCTCCCTCATGGCAGGCTACTCACGAGCCACGTACCTTCGCCGTGTATCTCAATAACACTGGGTATAGAACAGGTAAGAGACAAATCAACAGTAGTTCTTTGTTTAAGGTGAAGATGACAGATATTCAGCAATGGGTTTCGAATCACTGTCTAAAATGAAGTGACTATTGTCCCAAATTGGGTTTACAGAGCAGAGATTTACTGTTACGGAGAGGGAGGGTAGTACTCCCTGCTGGTCCAGATCCACAGCTAACGGCCATGTAAAGAAACTCACTTGTAATGGAGCAGCATATTTTCACCTTTGGATGTCCCAGGTGGGAAATAAGCTGTTGGGCAGTTACACCTAGTGCGAAAGAGGTGCATTTTAGTGGCATTGTGGGTCTGAACTGGCAGTTCCAGCCATGATTATGGTCAGTATTATGGCCTGCTTGTGGACAGCTGCTAACAGTTATGGAAGAAGATGTCGGGGCCAGGCTGGCGACTGCTGCCAAAGACCTCACAGGAGCGAAGTGCCTGTCATGGGAGTGAAACAAGGTGAATGGTATAATTTAAACTTTGCCATGGGGTGATATTTCATTTGCATTTTCTGAAAAGGAATAGAAACATGCCTTTAAGAAGGATTGTTCTGCTGTGCACCAGTAAGATTTGATAGTTTTCTTGTAAATTCCTGGTGGTTTTCCGTAGTCAGGAGATCCCTTTCCTGTCTACAAAGAACTCTTCTTATTCCTCCCGTCTGCGCTTCAGCCTGATGTAAAACCTGATTCATTTCTGCATCACCTATCCCCTAAGATTCAATCTGTAGACGCATTAGGCTCCAGCCTGACTTCCCCTTTGCAAGGTACAGGAGTTGTGCGAGGTCATCAGGGTGCAATTTGTCCAGAAGTGTCATTCGACTACAAAGACTCCCCTTTACAGGACCAACGAGGCACCGAACTCGGTGCCAACTGCGTTCCTTACAATGTAATTGGCAGCAAAGAGATTTTTCTCTATTAGCGGCTTAGGCACAAGAACAGATCGCTTTCAAAACATATAGCAGGCGAATGTCTCCATGCTGTCTGCTTGTCCTAATTCTCTTAATGCTGCTATATCCAATGCCTTAAATTTATCTGTTTGCTATCTTTTCTTCACCACACAGACAGCTCACTCTTTTTTCTTCTCTCTCTCTGTATCTGTAGTTTTGGAGAGCTTCTGCATCCTGTTTAAAAAGCAAAAACAGACAAATATTTAACTTCTTTGGACCTGGTGTTGGCTCTGACACATGTGCTGAATAGTACTTCAGTCTCTATTAAGCTGGTTTCAGTGAAGTTGCCATCTGAGTACAGCTCTGCTAAACCTGAGTAAGGGTCAGCATCAAGGCTTTGGAAAAGAAAAAGAGGGGAGAGAGAATTGACAATATCTGCTAGATTGTCGCACTGCTAAAAAAGGTGCTGAATTCACCCTAAAACATAAGCTTTGTCTCATGGTTTATGTCTCAGAAATCCTTTCTGCTTGATCTATGGCTGCTTCATGTGGGACCTGGCTTTCCTGTTCTTAAAAAAGTTAGTACCTTACTGATTTGTAATCTAATAAATGCACTACTAAATGCCTCATGCGTAAACTGGATAGCTCTGTCACTAGCCCCCTCTGCCCTTCTGGGGGTAAACACTCTGCTTTGGGTGTATCTTCTACACTGGCTTGTATTATGAAGGCATGTGGAGATGTCTACTAAATGCAGACTTGGCCCTATTAAATGGAAAGGAAAAAGGGGTCAAAAGAAAAGGAAAAAGAAAACAATCCCTTTCCAAAGGCAGGCAGAGAGAACATCAGTCCTAAAACTGTCAGGGTAGGTGAGTTTTAACAAGGGGCAGGAAGGAGAAAAAGGAAATGGAAACAAATGAAAATACTTGTATGAAACTCTGATTCTGACCAAGGTACATTGTTTGACCCTATAATAATATCGCCTCAAAGAATTTATCCATTTACTCCTTGCAAGATGAACCTACCTTCTAATTACCCCACAATTATTTTTTTAAGTGGCAGCTTAATTAACAGCAGATCTTATAATACATTTTTCAAGGACAGTGTTGCCTCATTAAAAAGTCATCAAAAGTCCACTAACCAACTAATAATCTACACTTCACAGCTAGAAAGTTTAGTAAAATTGTAATGACTCAAGAATACCTGGGAGTCAAGAATAATTGGGAGTGGAAAAGAGGGAACTGGGGAGAGAGAGTGGCTACATGCTACATAGACTAGTCGTGACTCTGTGCTGATATTGAAGACGCTGTGAGTATTTACCCTGTGCATTTCTACATGTTTTGAGAGGAAATCAATATCCTCCTCAATGGGAAACTGAGGTGGAGAAAGAGAAGTGAGTGACTCAAGGCCACTCGCAGTTTGGTAACAGTCCTGATGAGGCACTGGTCCAGAGAGCTCCAGTCCAGATGAGACAATGTGCAATACATCCAACCTGGTTCTCTGTTTGAAATGATGAGGATTTAGCTCTCACTTTTTGCATAGGATCAATTTATTATATAAGTCGGTGGAAATAAGGGGCTGGGGGAGTGTTTATATAGTGTCCTTACTTCTGTTCACTCCAAATAGTTTCCAACATCTATAAAGCATCCGCTGTCTAAACCTGCCGCAGCCTTAATTAAACCCTCTATAGTGCAATTGATCACATGTGGACAGACTGCTTATGAGGGGAGTCCTGCTGAAGCTACGAGGACTCCACGCAAGCACAGCAGGCCATTTAAAGAGAGGTCTGAACTGTGCTCTAATAAACTGCGGTCATAATTAGAGCCCACTGGGAAAACCTGGCAAAGAACAGAATGTTTTTTTCTTTCCTTTTTCTATTTTACTCTTCTACTCCTGTTCTACTCTGATGTGGCCTAATGGAGATGCTGCATTTCATGGAAACATCCCTTTTTGAAGATTATACGTCAGTGCTAAATCATAGGCAGGAACTGTGCTGAGTGCTAGCAGGGCAGACAATATTCAGAAACAACACTGCCAAACCAAAATCACTTTTGCTTCTAACTATCATTAAAAAAATCCCAAAACAATCAACAATGTTTCGATGTTTACAGTTTCCCTTACTCACAAGCTGTATGCTAATGCAGCAGTGAGTCAGCTGCACAGCTTCCTGATTGTTGAAAGTCCACAAAATTGGTATTATTAAACTAGAATTTGTAGGAAATAGCAGGGAAGACACAGTAAATAGGTAGAAAGAGAAAACAAAGCAACTCTGGAGAGCTTCAGAGACATGAGACATTTGTTTTAATTACATGGGCTCCAGCTGCTCATACTGGGGAGGAAAAAGGGTCACTCTGTAATCACTTTCAAATTTTGTGGAAATTGTGATAAAAGCTTGAGAAGTTTTCTTTCATCTCGCAGTTTTTAATGTCAGCAGACATCCCTTCAGCTGTTTAGATTCAGAAATTTTATTCAAAGGTTATTAGATGGAGGAGTTACAGATTTTGCTTTGTGCTTTCCAAAGTATTGGCTGGTTATTTGCTCTTCTTTCAGTCCTCCCTGCGGTACTGTTGAAGTCTCTTACTTTCTTTACCTTCTACTGTTCTGTCCCAGCCCTACAGCACGTAGCCTTGCCTCTCAGATGTGCTCTTCGGTGTTGTCAGTTCACACTGCCATTCACCTACACAAACACGAAGGAAAACTCCAGGAGTGCCCTACCTCAACCTTGGCTTCCTTTAGTAAGAAAGGAGGATTGTGCTACATCTTAATAACCGAGCAGTAGCCGAGCATTATCTTAGTATTTTAGAACAGAGAGCCATGCCAGCAGCACAGCCAATATCCAGGACACATAAATGCAACAATCATTTTATTGTTAAATAGTGTGTCACATTTTGTATACTGCGGGATTTTACGTTTTTACCAGCTGAAGTTTCATCCCTTTGCAAATATGAAGAGAAACGTAAGTTTAAAATTCTCAGCCTGACTTAACATGTATTCATTCAGAGCTCTCTCTGCTTAGTGTTACTTTATTACCCTCTAATCCTCACTCCTCTCAGCCTTCACAGCCAGCGTAACTGTGCAGGAGACAACAGGAGTCTGCCCTGGCTCAGCGATTGCTGACAGCCTCACAGCAGCACGCCAAACCCAGGACCAGGCTCTCACCTTATGGAGTCCCACCTGAAAGAATAGAGGTCACCAAATTAGGCAATTCTTTGCTTACATTTTTTAAAATTGTCTTTGGGAAGATGTATTTCCCAATATTTTTTTTCTTGCTCAGAAGTTTCAACCGACCAGAATAACATTCAGGATTCATGCATGCAAGTGTCCTGACAGCATTCTCAGCCTTTTGTGGGGCAAAAATGGTAACATAGCAAAGTTAAGCAACTTGAATGTTAATTTCTAAATGCTTGCATTTGTAAAACTCAAAACTCAAGAAGTGACTGGACATCAAGATGTCACTATCTGGCATGTTTTGACATTAGTCGCAGACTTCTGTGTAGCGATGAACAGAAATGTTCACTAGCTTGACATCTAGTTAATATGTTCAACAGTTCACGTCAGCTTCTGATGCGTGTCAGTTGACATCTGTCACTTACAGGTACATTTCTTAGTGTAGTGACCAAAGAACTAATAAAATGCCGAGATGACGAGACTGAAAGCTAAGGAGTATTTAAACTGTGCACCATTCCCTTCTGACACACAGGGACAAGTTAATCTTTCATAAAGGGAGCAAAAGCTATGCCTCCTGAAGGTGTGGGCAGACAATACGTTTCCTCTGGAGGCAAAGCCAGCGTGTTTCCTGTTCACAGCCTTACAGTACAATTCACTGCCAGCACACACTATTTTTAATCTGCATCGTTTCAGTGACCTAATTTGTATCCTGCCTCATGCACCCTTTCAAAACCGAGAGGGTGACAGAATATGATATAGGGGTGGGAATGAGTGAGCAGGGAATGAGTCCTGGTTTTCAGAATATTTCTAAAGTGAAAGTAAAGAAAGAGACAGAGAGAGTAAGGAAAGAGAGAGAGAATACAGGCTGGGGGATGAAGGGATTGAGAGCAGCCCTGCCGAGAAGGACTTGGGGGTACTGGTGGATGAAAAGCTGGACATGAGCCAGCA